ATTTTCCCAGCCTCGATCGGAAGGTCGTATTCTCAGGATTGCTTTTTCAGACATATCGTCGGTGCGGAAGGTGAGATTCTTGCTGTAAAAGATTCCTACCGCAACTGTCAGTCAATGTTTATAGGCAAAGTTTGCGAAGTTTTTAGGGGGACTGGGCATCGAAGTCAGTGTCTATTCTAAGCTGAGGGTAATGCTCTCTGCTAGCGTTGTTTTAGACATATTTAGTCTATTCGATTTTAGCCATACATATTGGCCGGTATCATGCGTTGCGACGAATGCTTCCGGAACTTGTGCATGCTTGGTGCAGCTGCCGGATATACGTGGAGTTGATATTGGTTATCGTCGTGTGAAAACGTTGTTGTGATTGGCGGCAGGCCACTGTCGATCGTATTTCTGGCTGACTGGTCGTTTCGCGTAGTCATCATATAGCCAGTGCCCTCATCCTCCTTGCGCGATCTCTTCAAAGTTCAGAACTTGCAGATGGCGGATGTTTTCGAATCGCTTTCCTCATTTCTTTTTTTCTTGATTTTTCTTGACTTCTCAATATATAGGTGAGATCTTCGAGAGTTCATTTTTCAATCCACAGGTATGTGTTATCATTCTGCCCAGTTTGACGAGGGTTGATCAGTTTTTTTACGTTCCCGGATAATTCACTTGTGATTGATTTTCCATTCTGTTAGGCAACCTTCCCGGTGGCATCTGTTTTTTTGCCGTTCACCTATCTGAAGTTTCATTTGCGACTGTTTTGAAATTATTCATTTGCCTTTTGCCGCTGTTTATGCTACGTGATTTTTTCGAGCGACCAAATTTTTAACTGTTTCAAAACTACGCACTGTTCACTTTTCCTTGCTGCTGCTGTTTGTTAATGACTTCGTTCCCTGCCAATCGCTCATCCGGTCTAATGTGAATGGTTATTTCGATTTTGAATTTTAAATATGCTAGTTTCTATATCAGGTTTTTCGTTTTCATTTCTTTTGTCTGTACGAAACTTTACGATGCATGGTTGAATGCAAAAATTTCTTTATTCTTGTTATGCGCATAGAACTAAGTGCATTGTTATCTGGGAAAGAAGGTCGGTATTTAGTTTAAACGTATTGTTTTATGATAGCTCCATTACTCCCCCCAACAACGAGTCTGACACGATTCCCTGCACCTGCACACCAAACTCAGTAGGTAGAACGTTTGAAAAAAAATCGATGTCCCGATCAGGTCACTCCGTTTCTTTCCTTTGCAAGTCGATAAATGAGTACCACTAAGTCGGAAGGAAACAGAAGACTGTATACTATGCTAGCCACCTAACTGCTGCCGATTCTGCCTTAAAAATATTCCATTCCTGGCTGATGGCATAGAAATGGCAGATAATGTAAGTGTAAGGAAGAGCGATCTTACTACGGTTACAAATTTAGTATCCTTCCTTTTCTTAACCTCGCATTCTAGCGGAGCTTCCAAGAAGACGATCAGACGAAACTGTCATAGATCTGAGAGTTGATTGGCCCACTGGTACGCACGACCAGAAAGTAGCAAGCTTCTTCCGGAAACTTTTCGGCTCTTTACCCTTATAAAAATGTCATAAAATGGGTTCATCGCGACGTAAGTACCAGAACTGATCGCTAAGAGTATTTTTACTTGGAGGATGGAGTCACACTGACAATGGCTGTATCCTGAAACGGTACCCTCAAAAGTATACAACTTCCGTTTCTCGTTATCGAACTGTTTTTGTTGAAAGCTTACGTGACTGGCTGAAAGCTTCATGGAAATCTGCCACCAAACGAATTTATCATCCGTTTTGCGTGTGAAGTTACACACGGCGGAGAACACAGGTTGTCTCTACGTTTCCTATGAACCCGCTACTGTAGCGTGTCAGTGTTTGTGCTGCTGTTACATGGTCATACGTTAGTTGTCAGCGCCAGTCATTGTGAGCTGCACAAAAACTGCTGCAACTAAATGAACACCTAGTTGCCGTTTAAAGTACAGTATATTTAATTTTGGCAGACAGTTGGCCACTGTGTTTTGCTTCTAAGTTCTAAAGCTCTTAAAGCAAAGTTCACAACACCGACGACGCAGGTCTCGTAGCACCCTTTAGTAAAGGTGGTGTAATGAATCATAATAAAGATAATTCAATGCTAAAGGCCACCAATTTAGATTAACTTAAATTTCCACGTAAATGAATTACTGGAGTAAAAATTATATATTGTCTCACTTCCTCAATGGAAACAGCCAGGAATTTGCAGAAATTAAGCTTCGCTAAACTGAAATATCACGACCTCCCTTTAGAAATTTGGAAAGAAACGAAAGCCACTGCACTTGAGTAGTTTTGCGTGGAGTTGATAAATACAGTTAGATGACACGAACACTGTCGTAGAAAATGTCTCACAAATCGATGCTCAGCTCATACGGCAAACTTTCACTGCATTCTTACAGTACCAGCAAGACGCCGTGACTGATGGTGACATGATGCGAAAATCGAGACAACCATTAATACACAAATAATAACTTACTTAGCGGAGTTACTTATAAAAATTCTTTTAAGTTCATCCTTTCCGTTGAAAAGCCCCTGTTCGATTTTGGAGGCTGGAAGACTTTCCAGTGGTCTTGGTCGCCCACCAGGTCGACAGTATCAGTACGTAACAAAATGAGGTTCTCTATAAACTCGAGTCGTTTGGTCCGCGGATGAGTTTCATGCAGTAAGTACCTTCTGATGCCCTCTCGTAGTCTATACCGCACGCAATTTGACCCTAAACGGATTTGCCTGTTTGGCTGCAGTGCGTGCACAAAGATGGCTGCTGTAAGAAATTTATTAAAACGAATCATTTCGCGCATGGTTTTAACAATACGTGTCGAAGTTAAATCAGTCATCAAAAGACGGTAGAGAAAACAGGGAGGGTGTGAACTCCAACAAGGAAGGAATTGCCAAAGTGGCCTTGTGCCTCACCTCTTCGTCTACGCGAGGATCAGGCACCATAACGACTTGCATTCCGGCATTCACGGCCGCCTCAACGCCATTTTTGCCGTCTTCGAAAACCAGGACGTTTTGAGGTGAAGGGGCCTCGGAAAACCGTGAGGCGATCACAAGGAAGCAGTCCGGAAACGGTTTGCCTCTCTTGACCTCAGAATCATCCGGGTTGCACACAATATGACTGAATAATAAGAAAAAGTCGTGGTGGTTTTGTGTTTTCAGTATAAACTGGCTCCTTCTGCTTCCGGTACAGACGGCCATTGGAATGCGATGTTTATGAAGATGTCTGACCAATCGTTCAGCCCCCGGCATCAACTCTGCATTTGGGAGCAGATCG